ACTTTGATTCAGTTGAAATTATTTAAATTCAGAAGAAAGCTTTTAACAGTTTATTTTTAAATAAATAATTAGAAAAAACACAAATATATCATTCTATATACTTTTTCTAAAATTTTAAAAGTAAAATAGTTTTATATATAGTTTTATAGTAAAATCGAATAATGACTGTTCTTGCTAAGAAGTTGAAAGTCATGCAAAGTTACTACCAGTTTAAGAGAATGAAGTTTTCATTGAATTACAGTACATGTCACTCATAAGGAATTAAAGCACGACGGTTTCTTAGATTAACAAAATTTTTTTATCGTAAGAACATTTAGTTCTTTTCATCTATTTCTTAGATTCCATGATATCTGTTTATTTAATCTGCCTATTTAAGCTGGATTTACAAAATTAAAGTATCGACGTTATCAACAAATGTTATCAACAGTTCGTTGCTGAAAGCAGATCCTACAGTTTTCAATGATTTCCCGTGAAGCATATTGCGCATTCGGCTGAAAAGCTGAAGCGCGTGGAATTGGACACGCACCAACTTCGCCTTCGTCTTCTTGTCGTATTCTTCGTCATGTTCATCGTGGTTTTCGTTGTGGTCGGTGACGAGGGCGTGCAAGAGAACCGACGCCGACGCCTGGCGTCGCTGCGTCGGTTCTCGCCCTAGCGGCTGCCAGGACGCCGGGCCGTCAGTGTGCCGCACATCGTCGGACGTGCATCGTGTCGGCCGAATCGTGCTCATGAGCGAGTGATCGAGACATGTGATTCGAGTTCGTTGTGATCGTAGAGAAGGATGAAGTAGAAAATGACGAGGAGATATCCTATGATCGCAGACGGCCTAAAGTGGTAAGGATCGATCGTCATGTGTGACACAGGATCGATCCGAAGAGATCCCTAAATTCGGGACGAGAGTAGGCATCGGTGATGTCTTGGGGCGATATCTCGAGACGCGCGAGTAACATCTCTCGATATAATTATGGTTAAAGGGCAGAGGTTGCCGAGTATCGAAAAAGGGGGATAATTACGGCCGTGGCAAAGCTCTTGAAGGAGTGGAACGTGGAGGTGAACATATGGGGGGACAGATCAGCGGAGATGTTTATGCTTCTCCCTAGAAGATTTATGCGAAACGATATCTATAATTAGTTATCGGGAAAAATAAGTCGACGAAGAGAGCGGTGTGATTATCGCACAGGAAAAAAGCTGATACTCTGACTTTGAAATTCTCCAAGGGTGCCCGGTGTTCCTTTGTTTTATCCTTAGTCTTTCCGCGGTGAGTTAAATAACACTGAATAATTGAATGAAAAGGCACTATTTATGTTTTAACAGTCAAATTATTATAATAAAACAGTGAAGTTATAATATAGTTTTGTTGTAATAAAATATATTTTTTAGATGCTTTTGATAGAGAATTATAAATTAAGAGACACTATTTTGCAAAAAAAGTCGATATAAGTTAAATATTTTTTATAAAAATTAACGTTACATTTAATACAATAATATTTTATACTATAATTTGTATTATTAATTTGTTCAATGCAGAGAAATTTTATTTTAAATATTGTTTCAATAGATATCAAAAGAAATAATGTTATTTATTTTAACCATGTATGTATAATTTCAAAAGTGTTGCTTAAACAAATGTATTACATGTATTATATATATTAATAATGTTTTAAGATTGAATTTATTTTTTTCTCTCTCTTTAATGTCAAAATAAGCAATATATTTATTATTAAAAAATAAAATTTAAGTTGTAACAAAAGGTAAAAACATTTTAAATAAATATAATAAAGTAAATTTATAATTTAACAAAAAAATATTAGTAAGAAACGAGCTATTAATTATAGTTTAATACGATAAGAATATTATTTACAATTTATTTATTATTCATATCCAGATTAGATCCGATAATTGAAGAAATTGTAGAGTTAAATAGAGATTGCTAAAATACGACGGATTCAATTAATATCTCATATTGCGTATAAAAATAAATACAATTAAATGATGTAAAAAAGTGGATACAATTCTATGTAGAAAATACAAAAGCGTGATAGGACTATTTAAATTACTTATATTCTTTAAGATGGATAAACCGATATAAAGAAATTAAATTGACTTATTATCTTTTTGATACGTCTCTATAAATTTTGAAATTTCTTTTGTTATATAAAAGTAATAAAAGTTGAAGAATAAGATATGAGGAATGGAAACAAGGAGAGCCAAAGATAGCATATAATTTTTATGATAATTTTTAGGATAACTCGCAACGATATTATAAAATATGAAGTTATGTTGCGTTAATACATAAAACATTTGTAAACTATTGATTTTAACGCATGATGTCGATGAGAGCTTGTAAGACCTTTTCTCACTCTTGTCAGAGCAAAGCTTCAGTTTCTCTACTTAATCCTATAGTCTATCTATGGTAAACGCGTCCTCGCGTGATATATTATTTTACAAAGGAGAAGCCTTACTCGAGAGAAGTGCTTTAAATAAAGTCTGTTGCAACATCCCATTTGTTAAAGATATTTTCTTGTCATTGTGATTTTATGCCCCTTTTACAGATAAAAACTAACGATACTTGCATAATAGCAAATGTAATAGAATCTTTTGTATAGACTATTTTATCTTTTCCTTTATAATAATATAATGTAAAAGTGAGAAATTTCATCAATTAACAAATAATATAATATAATATTATTATTACTAATACAAATGCACGTACATATACATATACATATATGTATATATAAACCTTTTATTTGTTATTTGTTTTTATTTAAAAAAAATAACTTTTTGTTTAAATATTATAAAGTTTAAATTAGAAGAAGAAAATATGAAGAAGAATGTATATTTGGATAATTAAATCGGTAAATTTATATAATGTTATATAAAGTTATAATGTTAGCATTAGTGAAATTATTCAGATATGAAAAGATAATTATCTTCAACAACAAAGTACTTAATTTCCTCAGCACTCTCTTATAGTTTCAAAGTAAAATTCACGACAGGCGTAAACTCCATTGAAGAGAATACATTGATAAGGTGTCGTAAAGTTGTATTGGTCGGACTGAGCTTACCTTTGTCGATACTCGATTATAGTTGCCGGAACGTCTTCACGCATCGATATCTTCTCGATATATCGCGTTTGCTGTTCACTAACTTCGACAGCTTCGACAGTCTACAGAATTGTCTTTCAGTTCCGCCGAGTTCCGCGAAACTTCGGAACTACGTGCCAACTACGTGATATTGTCACTGATCTTTATCCTATTTAATCAGAAATAGGCAAGACAGAATTTTCAATTGTTTAAAGTTTAAACATTGCAACTAGATTTGATTAAATTAGAAGATTATTTGAGTTAGCTTTAAAACAAAACACAGAAGTATATTCGAAGAAAAATATTAAATACAATATTTTAATTATTTATTCACATTTCAGCATTTTTAATTTTTCGTTTTTTTGAAATTTTTATTGATATTTTTAATATACATAACCTATTTTTCTTTTTTTCTCTTTTTTTAAAAATAATCTTCATTTCTATTTTTTTTCGTAGTTCGGCAATGTAGATGTAAAAGTATGTATAGTGTATAGATGTGTGATGCATATGGTATATAATTTATAGAGGTTGGATTTGCTAAATAATAAAATAATAATAATTTAAACAATGTACAAATTAATTATCCCTATGAGAGTTAATTTTTAATGAGACTTATTTCATCAATGTATATTGCTGTTGAATTAAAAGCAATCTGTTGAAAACAAATTGTATTTGCAAATTTTAATTTTTTTATTGTTTTTATGTCTGCATTACTTTAATGATACTTGTAATTGATTTAGATGAAACAATGTTTAAAATTTCTAAATTATTAAAAATACATTTTTCATCAATTAAGTTTTAAGAGTGTTATCAGATAATAACATTTTTAAAAATATACTTTTATTTATAATTAATTATTTCAATAAATCTGATTTAAATAATAAATTTAAATAAATAAACAGTTTTACAGCAATAATTAATAAATTTGCAATTTACAAATTAAAATATGTATAATTAAATTTTAAAATTACTTATCTGCATATAATATGAAATAAATTATACGTACATATTTCATGAATTGTTCCTTTATAAACAATTTTTATGTAATTAAAAATCTATTGTTTAAAATAAATATATTTTATATTTTTTATTCTTAAGCAATAAATATCTATAATTCACAGAAACGTTATATGATATTTCTGTATTTATAATTCGTTTTCAAAGCTTTCGCGATTGCATACGGAATAATCGAGACAATAATCGACGAAGTAGATCTAAGTAAGCGAGCTCCCGGTAGGCAGAGTAACGATAAGGAAGATGCGAAAAGAGAGGTGCAAAAAGCGAAATGTATAAAAAAAGAGAAAGAAATACCGATGCCAATTATTTAATCGAGAGTTTAGGAGAAGTACAATTTGCCATTGCCGTAATTACTCCGACTGTTCCATTATCGCGCACGTGGGATTAGAAGAAGATAAAACTTCTCACATTTTATTTGTAGAGTGAAGAAAGATGCGAGAGTTCTTTTCGGAGTGAAACGGAGGATTGGTCGATATATTCCCGGATTTATGACACATGTCTATGGATATCTCATAGAATTTTTTCCGAATTGAAATTTTCGCCGATAATCAAATTTTACGAATGAAACGTTTGCAACGTTCGAAGAGACATTCCGGAAATCAGACGTGACGTTTTTCACGAAGGACTTTGATTTGAAAGAAAATCGTACAAGAACTTTAACAAGCGTTTGCATCTCAGTATGGAAGAATTATAATAGAAATAGTGCCTGATACAGTCAAATAAACCGTCGTATTTTGTGATTGAGAAGTGAAGTATAAATACTTTGCGAAATTACAGCAAGCTTTGATAGTAACGGAAGACACAATTTTATCGGGGAAATCCGGAAAAGATAATCATCATTATCAGACAAAAGCCCTGAGTGGTGATCAATTACTTTAAAGAGGGAGAGATAGTGGATAGTTACTTGAAAGAATGGCGGAAGACTTTCTTCGCCGGAAAACTAGATCGGCTTCGATTTGTGCCCCAGGATTTTCCAGCATGGAACAAATGTTGGAAGCTATGCCACCCTCGGGAGCCCGTGAGAGAGAGAGAGGTGATAGTGGCAGTGGAACGCCGGATAGCAATACACCTACGAGGAGACGAAGGCCGGCTACAAGATCCCAAAGCGCCCGTGTTTCCGGAGGAAATAAAAGCATCCGACGCCGTGCCGCCGCTCAAGGTAACGATACAGTGGTTGAAATAAAGATAAATAATAATTTACCTGTCGCGTGTGAGTGGATTTTTATAATCTGATTAAAGTTTGTACCTCTCAGAAAGATTCAAAGATTCGAGAGCTTAAAAATTCAGAAGTATGAATGATCTATCAATTATTTTGAAATTGATAATTTCTTTGATAAATTTTTAAAAATGAAAATTTAAAATTCAAGATTTATCGATTCTAATAAAAAAAAGTTCACTCATCGCTTTGGTGAGTGAAGCTGTAACTATATATGTAAGGGTTTAAATTATCAAATGATCACATTTTTGCACATTTAATTTTTTTCCAATAATCAAGATATGAACGAACAATTGCCAAGATTAGATTTCAAGAGATATGTAAAAGTCTATTTTACGAGACAAGATTGCATAGTGCGATGACCGGACGTAACTTCCGATGGTATCCGATAAACTCGTGGAAACATCATTGGTGACGTACGATCCTTCTTGGCGAAAGAGCAAAGTGTATCGATATTGCACTGACAACACGCTGCGCTAGCGTCTCGCGAGAGTTCTTGAAATCATTGTGGCCATTATTCTCGGACATGGATTTGGCTAGTAGGTCACTGACAACCCAAACACGTTTCACCGACCGCGTGTCTTTGCAATTCTAGAGACCAGTTTCGTGGCTAAGCATAATGTTTTCGTTGTTTTATGTGCAGGTTGAAACACGAAGATGTGTATATACATGAGAAAAATTATTAGAGCGATAATTCATGTTGTTTATGCAAATGATGCCAGCAAGCCTTCCAGATTATAATTAAAGACTAAAGACTAAACAGCTAAAATATGAATGTAATGTCTAAAAATAGAAATTGACGAATATTATTTATTTAGCAATATGATTTTTATTTAAATAATCATTGTTTTTCAATTTTCTTGATACTTTGAGAAAAAATTATCTTTATAATACTTATCAATATATGTTTTGCAAGAAATTATTTAAAATTATTACAAACATTATTATCAATTTTATTGTATAATGTATTGTATACAAATTACTAATGTAAATTACAATTTATTTATAATTAATAATGAGATAATATAAAATTAAATACTTTTTACATCCATTGGTTTTAATTTTACAAATGCTAAAGAATTAACTTTTGTTTTAAAGTATTTCTTGTATTTCAAAGCTTTAGTCACAACATTGAAACGAGAGATTCCACTTTCTTCAACACTTGATAAAACGGGGAAATTTATCTGCTTGATAAACCTCTTGATTAAATGAAGCAAATATTCGAAACATAGTTTGAGCTTGCTCCTCTCTTCCTTTCCGCATCGTTTAATTTCATTTTTTAGTTCTTTTTAAGTTGTTACATATAATAAACTAAATCACTTGACTTTCCACGCGTCGGTTTTGCGACGTAATAAGTATAGTACCTTCGAAAAATGCTCTGCTCTTTGCTTTACTGATGAAAAGCTCAATCAGCATGCAGTCAAAGAAGAATTTCTCGTTTTAGTCTATTCATTAGTAAAGATTTGCTTTTTTAATAATTTTATTGCTTATTTGAATTGTTCATTCGCCTGTTATAAAGTGAACATATTATTGTAGCAATATATTGCAAAATATCAAAAATGTATTCCTATAAAAACTTTTTATTTAAATTTTTTTAACAAGAAGATAAAAACTAATGTTTTAGACTAATGTTTTAGAATATGATTATTTCACGTTTTCATGTAAAATGCATGCATAAATAAAAGTTGAAAAATAGAAATATAAATATATATATATATATATATATATATATATATATTGATAGATAGATAGAACTAGATAATAGAGCTAGATATAGATTTAATATGGTTGATAATATTAAAATCCTTTCTATCAGGAGACACGGAATGTCTCGGGTGTCAAATCAACCCAAAACACTACCGTGTGACTTTACGTATTATTTACGCATTAATGTAGCACAATAAATTTTACACATTTTAAACATTAAACATTTTTTATTGAGAGGTTATATTCCAATATCTTTTTTAATGTAATATAACGATTTATCTTCTTTTATCAAAATCTTGATTTGTAAAGACTGAATAGATTGACTTATCACGATTGACATTATTATATGTAAATGTTTGGCATATAATATATATGAATATCATTATTGGAATTTGTTAAAAAATCTGTTCTATATTTTTATATAATATATATATAATATATATTTTTATATAATATATATTTTATATAATATAATATATATGAATATCATTATTGGAATTTGTTAAAAAATCTATTCTATATTTTTGATAAATCTATATATCTCTATCTAGTATTGTACGCATCAATACTTATTAACTTTATTAATTTCAGCCGCCGCTCATCATCATCATCATCATCATGAAGGAGGTAGCATGAAATCGGCTCACTGCAGCAGCGAACCTAAATTGACCGAGAATGACATCAGTCCAGGAATCAGAAGACGAGGGAGCCGAAGGGGACAGAGCATGCACCATACGCATCAGAGGAAAAGCAACGCCTTCCTGGATGTACCTGACGTCTCATCTGCAATGCCACCGCGGGAGGAAGGCGAGGACGAAGATAGTTACAGACTCCGTAGCTTCAGTCTCACCAGCAAAGGTCAGAAATTGCCCTCTTCTATTTCTTCTAAATGTAAATAATCATAGGAAATAATTTTGCTTCTTACGCAAAAATGTTGAGGAAACTACTTTGGTGCCGGTCACGATCTGTGCATACGAAATAGACAAGAAATATAAGTATACTACATATACAGGGTGTCCCATAATTATTAACGTATCTCTTGTGGACAGATGAAACGGATTACATTGCATAAAAAAGATTTCTATCATTTTATAATCCTTTTTGTAATAATTAATAAGAGATTAATTTAACCATCCGCGAATAAACACGCGGAAAGACTATCCAGCATTATTCACTGCGTAAAGACTGCCCAGCATTATTCCAGCATTATTCACGTAAACGTGTATTCATGATTGCTACGCAATTTAGAGGCGTGTACTATAAACGGATAGTCTATCATTTGTAAATCACACTTCTAAACATTTTGCCACGTGTTTAGCCCCGTCAGCGTGTGTTGTAACGTTGAGTTGTTGTTTTGTGCGAATGCACGCTTATTCGCGGATCTTTATAAAATAAAATTTCATTAATTATTGCATATTGCATATTGCAAAAATCGCAAATTCTAGAGAACTTTTCTTTTTAATACAACTTGTTTTATCTACCATGAGAACTATTGTTAATTATGAATACTCTATATATAAAATGAATACAACCAATTATGGGATTAGAAGCTAAGTGGATATTTGAGATAAATGGGAATAAGATAATTAAAATAATCATATAAATAGAAACTTTGTAAGCTTCTAATGATATAATTAATAATTTAGAAGTCTTAATCATTTAATTTATTAATTCGTAAAATTATAACGTACAACTATTAATTTTTATCATTGATAATTTGGCAATTGTTTTATTTATTAGTGATTCTCTGTGATTTTGGTAGGTATTTAGAATCTTGAAAAGATTTGATGATTTCTCGTAAAATAGATATTGAGTTTAAATAATTACATTTTTAGATTTCTGAATTCTAATATAGTGATATACAACCTCTCTATAACATTTTTGGCGAATATATTTTAGAATGTTTTAGAATGCCACAATGTTATTTGATATTTCAAATACTTTTAGCGTCTTTATATTAAATCTTTTATATCCTTAAATGTTTCCTGAGTTCTCTATTATCGCAGTTTTTCTAACCATTTTATAAACCACCGACATTCGTTTAATAGTGAAAGCGATATGAAACTTTTTCAAAGTGTGTACGCTTTGCTCTTTTGAGATGCAAATTATTGACAGCTTCCAGCATTGTGCAAACATTCTCAATTTATCACGAAACTATCGGTAACTATGTAGGTGTAATAACATGGTTGAATTTTTCGATAGTTTCGCAACAATGTATAGTTTTGGACAAATCAATTATTAACTAAACTTTTTTATAGTATATTTTAATTTAATGAAATATTACTTATAATTAATCAGTAATTACATATTTCTATTTAATATTTACAATTGTTTGATAAAATTTATTCATTCTTCGCATTGATAAGATTTGCTGCATCAGATATAATAAAAAGTTCAATTATTTAAATACGCGATATAAATTTATAGGAAATAATTTTGTTAAAATTTCCAGACATGATGTTTCAGAGATTGTATGTTCTATTAAACTTTATATGTTAAAACTTTTTGCGAGAGAGAATGAAGCACTGTTTTTTCCAGTAGTTCTTAAATTTATAATTTAATTAAGTTTTTCTAAGCACGCGTTTTACACTTTAATCTTATGATAAAGGTAAAGTTTACTTGAAATAAATAAAAAATAAATAAATTTTTTCGGCGAAAAGGCAAAAAATAATTAATTTATTAGTATGAAACAATTACTATTGTTCTCTTAATTATATTGTTCTCTCTAATTTGTTTATTTAAAATTTTTGGAAGTTCTAAATAATAGCCATAATTTCTGTAGAAATTAAGTAAAATTCGTAGAGTTCATTTTCGGACTATTCTCTTTTCATCGCGACATTGTCATCTTTCATGAAATCGTCAATTTACACGGGAAAAGAACGAGAATAAAAATAAATTTAATCGAAATATTTCGAATTGTGTTTTCTTCGCGTTACTGCCTCACATGTGTACTTCGCGAGAAGTTGCGCCAGAAATACACGAGTGCGAGATAGATTCAGCAGGGGAGAAGACCAGAGGAGTCGAGATAAGCGAAAATAGAGCAGCTATAGTTGTGACGTCGACACAGCTCCACTACGAGGACTTAACTCGAGTTCGATGAGCCAGTGAATGCGCGTGAAAGTCATTTATACATAGGCGTCTTGAGTGTATTATATTAACTTAGTTACGCGAATAAGAATGAATGTGACTTCAATGACATTAGATGCATTGATTCAATTATATATTTAAAAAATATGATTGCCAATTGACATTAATAAAAATTTTTCCTATTTTGTCGTGGAGGGACATGGTCATCAATTTAATTTAATTCCAACATAATACTGATTAAACCTCAATTAACTAAAAATTATGACGTTAAGGAAATGTTATTATGATATTGATGAGAGTTGTAATAAAACAGCATGAAATTTTTTCGACGAA